AGGCTGGGGTCGTTTGGGTCTGCCATGGTCTGGTTGTGTTACCATTCTGCCTCTAGGACGCCAGTCTCTCTGAGCTCGTGCCTGTGCAGGAGACAGCAGTGCTATCAGCACCTGAAGCAGCATATGTTGTCACTTGGACCATCTGCTACTGAGTGTGAAGGAGAAAAGGAGGGACACGAATGTAGAGTCCTTTTATCTGTTCTGTGAATCTGCTTATATCTTAACCTGGGCTACCATTCACTGGAGGGTTGATCAGGTGGCCACTCATCAGGAGGACTGCACAAAGGAAGTAAGATTTGAGAAGCAGTGCAGAGGTCAGAGAGGATGCTTAGGCATAAGGGACAACTTAAGAGAGAGAAAAGTGCTATGATAACTTACAAGATGGGGAAGGAAAGGATTTCTGGTGAGATTTATCTGCAGACATTATTAATAGGTACATGGAAAGAATGGGAAGTATTTTCACCTTCAAGCTCAGCTGATTCCTGTAGCCTGCCAGTGCTTGAAGCTGGCAGCAGTTAAGAGGCATGCGAATTTTCCCTGCTTTTCTGACCTCTGAGCCAGTATTTCAGAAACACTATTGCTTGTGTAGAGTACCTAAATTTTTCAGAAAGTAATTAGAATTGATGCTCAGGCAGACTGCTCTGAGACCAGCCCAAGCAAAGAAAGCTGTGTACACAGTGCTAGGTAAGTGATGTTGATAGGTACATTCTGATTGATGGGCGAGTTTGTCTCCCAAACTGTCACAGGGTTTATAGAGGTGCCACTCAATACCAGCGCTGGAATTGCATGTCAGAGCACCTGGCTACAAGAGCAATGGGGATTGGAGACAGAGCTGTAACTTTGTTTTTTCTCTGCCTAATGGCCCCAGCGTCTGACCTGCCTGTTAACTCCTGTTTGTCTGGTCCTTAAGGAGGCAACTGGGATTAAGACTGTCAGAGAATTGTGCTGCTTTAACACCAGGAGGCTAATTGTATTGGGGCTGGCAGCATATGACAAGGGGTTGCCTTCTACCAAATGTACAGCAAGGGACAGGAAAGGTATAGAAAAGTCTGCACTGAGTTTGTTCTTTTTTCATCTAAAAGCAGCATTTTCAAATTCACATGTGGAATTACATTCCTCAGGCTTTGAGTGACTCCTAAGAGTCACAGCTGCTTCTGTGAATAACAGATCACATCTCTTATGAATTCCTAGGTCAAACTCACAAGTTAGCATTCAGTTGTCGGATTTCACTTTGTTAACGCATGGGAATAAAGTTGTGGTTCCAAGCATTGACCTCTGGATAACACACTGGCTTTAGAGGTCTCTACTCTAGGCAGCATTGCTGATGGCTGTGAATTACTGTGTGACTTTCAAAAGAAGAGCCTTGCTGGAGGAACTCTTCCCTGATCTCAGTGCACACTATTGACTTGTGAATCATTCGAATGGAGTTGGTAGGGGAACTTCTGGAAGCTCTTGTCTTCTGTACTCCATTTCACATTTTCCTTTCTCTTGGATGGCACTGTACACCACCTGGAGCTGGAAGTTGTGAGCCCTCTTTACATTTGGGCTGAGTTAGTGAGAAGCAGGTGTGATCCTTTTGGGCCTTCCTTGCATTTAGTGGTCTTCTTAATCCATTTATAACAGCACTTGTCCAGAAATCTGGTTTGAATGAGCCTGAGATGAATGAATAATGTCAAGCAGTTCAGACGTCAAATATTTGAACAGCTGTGTGGGTGTTTTCACTGGCTTTGTGCATGGAAGCAACCCCAGGAAGTTCGACAAAGAGGGTCAGGTTGAAATTGTGGCACCAAACCTCATCCCACTGGACCTGGCCTCAAAATCCATCCCTGCTGCAGAATGAAAAGGTATTACAGGATACTGCTTGCAAGCCGTTTGTACCCCAGGTGATGCTGGGCCACACTTTGCATCCCATATTTTAGTGTTTTGTTGTATGCAGGAGCAGTACTGGGATTTATGAATATTTTGATTCGTATCAGTAACATATTTTGTGACTTTCGTTTTTCCTTTTTATTTGAGGCAGCTTCTGAAGTCCTAAAACTGATAGCACAACTCATATTCAGAGTATTTTTTGGATTCATGTAGGTTACTTTGTTTAGCAGTTTCTGAATGATTTGGTTTACCATATTGCAATGGACTGCACTTGGTCACATAAAAAAATTCCATATTAAGCAAAAAACTAAGAGTTGGATCACCTAATTGCACCTTCCTTTAGGTGTCAATCTGGGAGTCCTTGTTTGATCAGAAAAGAAAATTTACCATTCCTGTGCCCCTCTTTTTAACCTATGAACTTCTCTGCAGTGCTGTCCTCTCTGACTGAAAGGCTCTCTCAGATCATCCCAGTGTATATTTGCCATCATAACACATACTGTCCAAACTCTCCCCTTGTACACTCTCTGTTTAGGGAGTAGTCTGCTGGCAGTGCAGCTAGGCTATAGAGCTAGATTCAGACAAAGCTCTGGAATATTTTCCTTGCAGACTTAAAAGGGATTTTCTTAAATACAAAGGTCTTGAGAGCAAGGACACAAGGATTCTGAAGTCAAGGTGCCTTAATATTTGTAAACTGTATTGCACTAAGCAGATCTTCTCATCTTAAGCTCTAGCCATAAACCACCAGTTGGCTTGAGTCACTTGGAAACAAAATTGATGGAAAGGTACATGTCTGCTGTGTGCTTGGCATGCTTGCAGAGACAGTAACACGGGGGGTGGTCCCACTTATGTTCACTCATTTGGCCACCTCCCCCCCACCTAGGCACTTGCTCCAAGTATTCATTGTCTGGCTAATGTTCAGATCTCCTCCTGGGACTGGCCAAGTCACAGCTCCAGCTTTGCATGATTTGTGTCTCCCACAGCTACAAGAAAAATGAAGACCTGTGTGTCCAAAGTTTATGGCCTTTGAGAAGTGATGGGCTAAAGTAATGCCAGGTGCAGGGATGGTGTTACTGCAGGTTAAATGCCATGCCTGTAAATTACCACCCCATCACCCACTCTTGACTTTTAAAGCAGCTTTGAAAGACTATCCAGTTTCTTTGACAGGTCTCTCTTGCCACTCTAAATCTTTTCCCAAACATTGTGATGAACTGAATGAGTCAAGATTTACTAGATGAGCCATTGCAGCAAGAGGAGGCAGCTTGTGGCATTTGTTGGCTGGCAGTGTCCAGCCAGTATGTGAAACACTTCCAAAGGGGTCTGCTGGAAATGAGCTACCCCAGTGACACCATGGGGATGACCTGCAGCCATGGCTCCCACTGTACCTGGCACAGATGTGAGTGTGGCATTGTTGGTGCTATTTGTGTTACCTTTGCTAAAAATTAAGGTTGGTGATTGCTCTGAAGCAAAAGGTAGTTTATGCTTTTAGGGAAAGGTTAGTCTTAAAATCATTGTCATGCTATAGTTGTCACTCGTTAAGGACCTTCTTGATATTCAGGGAAGAGAAATATCAAATCCATATAAACAAATTTTATTGGGTGCTTAATGAATCAGTGAGAGCATCCGTTCCTAGAGAGTGGTAGTAAAGAACTGTGTCTGCATGGCGTCCTTGGAAATGAGACCTTTGCTTTGCCCTGCTGTCTGCACAGATGCAGGCTGTTAGAAATATAGTTCACGCTTCTGGGCTTATGTTAAGTTTGCTGGTGAGAACCCAGTGGGATGAACAGACTCAGACATCTGAAGGCCTGAAAAGGCTGTCCTAATGCTTTGGAATGTCCTCATTCTTCAGACATGCATATAATATTCAGTGCTTCTACAATAATTTTAGCCTATATTTTTTATTTAGAACCACAGTCGCCCTTTTGGGGCATTGGTGCAAGGCCTAGGCAATACCTACCTTACTCTTTCAATCTTTGCAGTTGGGATTTGTTCCCTGATCTACAACCCTAGACCTAGGTCACCAGCCCTCTGGATGTGCCTTGAGGCTCTGTCTGAGCCAGGTGTCCAGCTCTGCTCTCTGGACAGGGGTTTAGATGAAGGAACATCTGCATAGCTAACATACCCAAACAGCTTACATCTGCTGCAAAATTGAACACAAATGAGGACCTTGCAACCAACACCCTAGAGTTCAGGAGGTCTTTGCTTAATATCCAGTCTTACAGGAGAAAGCATATTCAGTGTTAGCTCTCGTAAAGAGTAAATACACTTTCTGTAGTTTCCCTTCTCTTAATAAAACCTGCGCAGAAAATACCATGTGAAGATTCATCTTTGTAGGTGTTTGTGCAGATTCAATTAAAAGAAGCCTGGTTACAGTTTACAAAATACTTGGGACTAAAGTAAATGTATAAATTGTTAGAAAGTGGGAGTTGATGCACAGTCAGCCTCAGGTGGAACTGTAAGTGATTGCTTCCTGCTGGAGTTGGAACTGGATGTGTGCCTGACCCACCTGTGCTGGAAGAGCAGAACTCTTGAGGAGTTGCATTGCAATTTTTTCATATAAGTGCTTGTAAGAAGCTGTTAATGACAGAAGTCTGTGTTTTTTTCCCCCTCTTGTAGAAACAGGTTTGCTGTTCTTATATGTTTTAAATTTTAAAAATTTAGCCATGACTAAATGTATTTTAAAATGGAAAAGATGTTTCTAATTGTATTTTAGCCTCTGCCTGCCCTCTGCATCTGAATTAAGTAATTCAGAACGTCCTTTCTCTTACCTGCTAGTAGTGTGAATTTTGCATTAACTACTTCTGTGAAAAATAATTCTTTCCTATTTAGCTTCATTGCTTTTTCTACCTTTGAGAGAGACCCTTACAGTGACTTCAATTCTAAAATAATTCATGTGGAGAGCTAAAAGTCAAGAATGTTCCATTTTCAATGTTGGGGGCATTTAGAGCATAAAATCTAGGAAGTTAGACCATTTCTGAGAGTGTTCTTGTGCAGTCTTTGGAGAGGGCACCTTTTATGAGGCTGTTAAGAGTAAAGGACAGCCTGCAAACTGGTGCTGTAGCACCTTTCTTGGGAGATCTCCAACATTTCATTTCCAATTCAAATGCTCATCCGTGTGTTTTATTTTCTTTCAGGTTCTGGGTTTATCATGTGCAGCGGGAAGGAGAATCCAGACAGCGACGCTGACCTGGATGTGGATGGAGACGACACACTCGAATACGGGAAACCACAGTATCGTTTTTGAAAGGCTCTTACCAAGAGGGAACCCAGAGGTGCAGCTGCCCTGGGAAATGGTGGATAATCTGTGTCCAGCCCTATTGGAAATGACACAGCCTTGTACAGTTACCATGTTATTTGAACTAGGAGGGGTTCCCTATTATCTCTTTTGAGATCCTACTGTTGATACAGCACTACTTCAGACCTGGTTGAAATCTATAGGAGATATTGCAAGGGATCAGTTAGAGTTTCTCTATTCTGTTTCATAAACACTATGTTGCCTCCACCCCGGTTTGTTCTATATGGACAGCTTTTCCTATTTCATGAGTAGGAATTGAGTTTATTTTCCACAAGACACCCTTTTGTTTTCAAGGAGTTTGTGCAGTAAGCGCTATTCACCTTCCACTCTGAGAGATTTGATTTTTTTTACCCCCTTTCATTAGACATGAAAGTTCATGGGCAGAACTGTCATTAAAGGCGGATTTTGGGAGCTTCTCCATCTGGGAGCAAGCTTTTTGGGCACAGCTCTGGGAGACCTGTAAGCAGACTTCTTCCCCACAGCAGTTGTAATAGGCATCAAGGAAGAATTCCTGTAAGGGCATTAGACAGACACTGCCTTAGCTGTGATGAGGGGCTATATACAGCTATAGAATGAGATTTTATTGAAAACTGTACCAGCCTTTAGGATCGAATCTCCAACCCTCCACTGGTAAAAGAACTCTATACTTCAAATAGAATTTGTGAAATTGTGCAGGTTAAGTTTTCACAGGTTCAGGAACTGGTTTTTCCTTTCCAAGAAGCAGTGTAATCATGTTACTATCAAAAGATTTCTGTTTCTTTCCACCTAAAACAAAACTTTAATCCAGGATTTAAAAGCAGGCCCCTTCGTGGATACCATTCCTTCTCTTTTTTTAAGGTGTTCCCAGTTGGAATTAATTTGTTCTATGTCCCAGACAGTGTCCTAACCATCTCAAAAACCTTTCCACTGTCTGCAGCAGGCAGGGCTGTATGTTCCTTAACCCTTTGTGCTCAGGTACACAGAGGCAGACATTATTCCTTGCACTGGAGAAGAGCCAGGTGAAGCCAAAGAAAGGGAGGCGCTCCGAGGTGCTGTTTTAAAGTAAGTATCATGCCTTTCTAAATTACTGCATTCATGACTTTTGGGAAGTCTCAGTTCATGGAAAATACCTGTTCACTTGAGTGCAAGGGTTGCAACAAGAGACTTAAAAAGAAGCACAATCTGACAGGTAGGTCTCCATTTCTACCTGTGCAGCTTCAGTAAAGCCTCCCTGTACACTCTCCCTCTCTGAGCCACCCCACGGCCCAGCCAGTGCCATCTTTGCACTGAACAATGCTGGACAGAGGATGAATTCTAGCAATGAGGAAACTATGCTGGACTAAGGCCTTATGCATCATATTATTCATGATGAAATGTGGCCTCTTAGCAGTATACAGTATGATGCCATGGGAATCTTGGTTGGCACCCCACGTGTAGGAGGAGTCTGGCACCCCACACGGGACTTCACTGATTACGTGCTGTGGGGCATGCAAACTAATCCTTCTGTATTCAGCTCTGGGTTGGGGCAGGATGTGTGCCCTGCCCACATACATATGTGGAGATTGTAGGCAGCCAGCATTCAGGTCACTCAGGGAAGCATTCCAGGCAAATAAAATGAGTCTTAACAGGGAGCTAGGATTGCTTTCTAAGCCCTCTGCCCTGCATAAAACAGGACTTAAATTACCCCTGTATCTCTTTCACTGAGTGATCCTGTGGGGTCAAGGTTGATAGAGCAGTGAAATGAAGTTTTCTTACTGCTTAGCCTGTCGCAAACACTAGTTCAAAATTAGGTTTCACTCCATAGAAAAGTGGCATTTGCCACACTGGATCCAAACCATTGGTCCATTCAATACTTTGCTAACCATGCTAGTCCAAAAGCACGGCCTCAAAGACGCTGAAGCTCCTTCACAGCTACAACTCTGGTGTTGTAGCAGGAGGATACTTGGTTATCAGTTGATACGGACACTTAGTGCTTGGTGAGAGAACTGAGGACCTGAGGCCAGGAGATCCAGTCATGTGGCTTGCACCTAACACATTGTTTTGCTGTTTGGACAAGGTCCTTCTTGCACGTTTCTGGGACTTGTTTGCCAGTCTCTGCAGCTTAAGAGGTGATGTTGGTTGTAAAAACACTTTGAAATTCTGTCAAGTTTCTGTAGAAATGCAGTAGTGTCACTGATGCCATGAAGATTGAGCATTGAGATTTTTTGGCTGGCCATCTGCTCATATTTTGAAACTTAGACTGATGGATAGCAGTATTAAGAGAGAAGTAGTTGGCGGAAGGGGTAGCTTTTCCTGAGCACCAATATTTTTTTAATTCAACCTTTAGCATATTGTCCTTTTCTTTTTTAGTGGTGGTACACCAAGTACTCGAATAACACCGGAGTTTTCTAAATGGGCCAGTGATGGTGAGTGTTGAAACTGTAAATTGTTAATTTATGTACTACAGGAGGGCAGGTAGATAGTCTATGTCTTCTGCTTGCCAGTACTTAGGAGAGGTGGTTACTAATGCTCTTGCAGAGTGTCATCAGGTGCGCATAAAACCACGCTATCTTTTTGAAACTTTACAGCACAATTAATTGTCAATAATGGCACCTGGGGAAGTTCCCAAAAATGCCACCTTAACTGGTATGGTGATGAGAGATAGAGTTTGGATTGACTTGATGTCATGTCACTGAAAGGCAAACTGCTGTATTACAGAGAGAGCCAGCAGAGCCTGACAATGTGATGGTGATGTTCAGCTGCTGGATGTTTAAACTACACAGGTGTACCTATTATTGGGTGTTTTTCAACTGCTTTCTTATCTTCCCTTCTTTGAGAGGATGTGCTAAAAACTTGTATCTTTTGGATAGATCTTGTCCTTACTGGCCTTTGTATGGCAAGAAAAGCCTACTGCTCTGAAGGCTTCACCTTTGGAGTGGAAACTCTAGGATCTGTTCTACTTCATGACCTATAATTGAGAAGGAAGAGTGAATGAGTTAATGTGAATATATATATGCATACTTTACCTGAAAGCTCACCAGATTGAGAAGGAAGAGCGAAGCGTTACTCCCATTTGACTGCTGGGGGGTTTTATTCAATGTCAGCAGCACTGTAAGTGTAAGCAGCAACTTAGTGGAAATATGAAAATAATAAAACCTGGCGCTTTCCAGCTGTAGATGCCAAATCCATTTTCAGAACTGGGCAGTGCTGCTCCAGCTCCCTTAGGAAGGAAACTGAAGCTCAGCGACCTGAAGAGACATGTCCCAATGATTTTGTTCCCTGTTCTGTTCCTGTCATGCTTTGGGCATTTGATTCCCAGCCTTGAAAGTACCTACAAGACGTAACTACTTGCCGGTGGGAGTGGGGGAAGGGAATAGAACCAGTTTTGCCAGAGGCATGATGGTTAAACGGAGAGCATAGGATATCTATCACAGGCATTTCCTTCTGTGGGATAGGCAATCACATTTATTTTCTGTGATGTAGAAGCACTTGCTTGTAGGTATTATCAGCTTCAATAGCTACAGCCACGGAGGTGATGAGGAGGCAGCTCTGATGGCATTTGCTATGAGCTGTTTTCTTCATACCTTTTACCCAAATCCACGGTGATGAACCTACAACCCTGGGGCTGGTTCCTCTTCTCATCTCCAGCTGGTGTCTCACACCCTCTCGTGTGCTGGGAGCAGCCATGATGAGCAGACTGTTCGTCATTCTACTTACCTGGCATGTGTTTTTCTGCTTGTGTCTGTGAGGTCTCAGCAAATGAGAGAGGCTGAAAGCAGGGTCTGGGCTGAGTGGATTTACTCCGAACCCACTTTTCTAGAAGTACACTTCCATATGGCAGCTGCATGAACCCTTCTGAATTAAATCCTGTCTTAAACAATGGGTACCTCAGTGGGGGTCAGATCACTGTGAAGTGGGGATGGAGCAAGGGTTGTATTTTGAGCCCTGAATCATAGAAATACACCGTCCAGAGGGGCCCCCCTGCCAGACAGGGACACTTAGCATCAGTCACTTCTCTCTCTTACCAAGAACTGGCATGAAAGTAACTCATTGAGGTCCTCTGAAACTGTGACTTGCTCAGATTATTTCATTGCAATGATCTAACGTTTTCTTACTATTTTTTCTGTTCTTCTCTCAGCAGAAATGCCCTCAACGAGTAATGGTGAATGCAGTAAACAGGAGACCATGCAGAAGACCTGTAAAAACAGTGACATTGAAAAGTGAGTGTGAAGTGGGTAGTTTCCCTTTTTCTTGTTTTAAAGAACCAGTGTCCCACCTGGTGGTAATCTGAAGGTAGGCATATTTGAAGCTTTTACCACTAAGAAGGGAAGTTGTGCTGCACCACAAAACCTGACCTTGGAGCACTCACCACTGCTATGTTCACAGGAGGCTTTTGGGGAGTTCTCCACCAGATATCTATGAAGGGCAGGTACTCAGTGTCATGGAATTTGGCACAGCTTCTGACGCGCTTCTCCACTGCAAACTGCCTTCTTTTAAATTATGTAAATAAAGATATCCATGCTTTCTTTCTGTATGTTCCACCTTTCATCTCTCAACAAAAGGAAATCTCCCCCTAGCAGTACTGTTACTTGGAAGAAGTCTCACAGAGGGAATTTCTTTTTCCTTAAGATCTATATTGAGCCTTTATATGGTTCCTAACAGAAATAATGTCTCCTGACTCAGTTTCTGAGTTTTTTCCTTGCAGCCCTTTCGTGGTTCAGAAGTTTAAGTCCCATTGTTTGAATATGCAGTAGTGGAGGGACTGGTGGACATCTCCTTTCCTGTCCCTTTCTCCTCGTTGAATGTGCTGCAGTCTAGTCTGAAATAGAAATAAATGGGTTTATCTGCACTATTCATTTAACAACCTCTATTCTAAACCTTATTCCACATGCTGCTAGGGTAACTTACTGCTTGGGCAGATTTGATGGTCCAAACCTAAAACTACAGGCTGTTCTCTGCTGCCATGGACTGCATTAGCTGGGATGGGACAGTGTTTTAAGTTGATTATTGCGTGATATAAAACATTGCCCTAAGGTCAAGTGAGATACCAAACAACTTGAATGAGGTGGAAGCAATTACGGTGGGTTTTAAATATTACATATTAGAGTGATGTCCATGGATAGTTTGGGATGGGGGGAAATCTAGTGGTATAGCATTAAGCTGACTTTACAGAAAGTTGTCATTTTTCTAATGTAGTTTGTTCTTCTCCTGCCCATGATCCTGACTTGAGAGGTTGCGTCCCTGGCACATTTTTGGATCTCTGACATTTCAGGCAGCCTGACAGAGCGTATGTTCATAGTCAGAGTTAACTGGGGAAACTCCCTGCTGTAGAGGGAACTTTTACATTGCTTTGCTGTCTCGGCACTTTCCTTTCTATAAGCCCTTTTGTTAGCATGTCCCAAATGTTGGCTGTCTGCCATTTGCTGCTTCTCGGTCAGCAGACTTTGGCCAAGGACCACTGAGTCTGGGAGGCTGCAGGTCAGTGCAGAACCAGCTTTGTCCTTAGAGTGAGCCAACCATTGCATGATGTCTTGGTGGCAAGGACTCATCCCTTCTGCCCTAATCTGTCAGCCTCTGTCTCAGCTGCTGCTTGGCTTCCCTTTGGGCCTCCTGCCTGTCTGCCCAGCAACCCTCCATCCTCCCAGATCCACTCCTATTGAAAATCTTTAAACTGTAGGAGCTGAAAGGATTTGACATTTTCCAGAACACTTGAGCTCAAGTGATAAAATTGACATAGCTTTAATAATCTGATCAAAGAGGCTTTAGCTAGCACGTTTTGAAGGGTCCCAGAATCCTTTCCAAACAACTCTCATGCTAACACTGCTGTGAAGTGCAGAGAGCGAGTGTGTGTGTGCGTCTGTGCACACACACCTTGTTCTGCAATAACCTTGCCTGCTAAAGCTTCAGTTCTGCTAAAAGTCAGTGAAACTCAAAAGAAATTACAGGAAATTCCTTAAATGTCTTGTTCAGTCTTTCTAATAATGTTAATTTTTGAAAGTAGCAGAGGGACCTTTTTGTTTAAGGTACTTTATTTCACCGGGGTTCAGAAAACAAGATGGTGTTTCAGGTGGAGAATTCCTAGCTGCCTTTTTTTTTTCCTCTCCTTTCCTTTGAGATTCATGTGTGATAAATAGTTTCTGTCCTGCCATTTAAGGAGTCTGAATGCTCTGTGTGCTTGTCTGTGTAGAGGGGTTCTGTTAAATTAATTGATAACAGGGATCAGAGCTAGAAGCCTACAGAAAAGGAGGGGGAAGGGTTTCTCACTGTCTGGCTGCTTCCCACTCCACTGCTGAGCCATGATATATGGCGACCTAGCCCAACAGGCTAAATTGATTCATCTCTAGTTCCTGTTTCTTAATCTGGTGCTAAATTGGTTTCATTTTTCTTGTTTTGGGTGGTGCTTACAGGAAATTTTTGGCAGCATCACTTTACTCCATTGTTTGTAACTTAAATTTTTGCCTTTAAATCTGAGCATTATTGATTGGCATGTTAAACCTTGTGTAGCACCTGATTAGCATTTTTTAAATTGTCCAGAAGCACATGGCTTAGCACCTGTGTCAGCCGTGCTCTCTGTTTAGAGCAGTGGCTAATAGAGTTAGCAGTGATCTGCCTATTGATCCTTCTCTTATAAGAATGACGTTCCTTCCTCCCCTCTTCCAAAAATAAGTCCAGGCAAAGAGAGTAGTGTGTTTTTGTTTGGTTTTTAATCCATTAGTACAGTACTGTCAGCAGTTCTCCTTTTGGCACACAGCTGAATTTCTTCACTTGAGTAGGTTTAAATTAATCTAAACATGGGGTTTTGTGGGAGAGTCTCTTACATGTAGAACAGCTAGATGGGGTTTGGGGTAAGTCTGTTTGTTGCTCTGCTCCTTGTGCTGTGCCAGATGATCAGTAATTTGGACAAGTTGACCTCATCTGTGTAGTGTTGAACTTCAGGTGGCAGCCAGGGGTAGTGGGAGACGTGGTGCTGGTCCCAGCTCTCCTTCTCAGCACTGTGAGGTGTCTCAGTGCTGCGCTTTTCTAATCTTGCCAGTGTCTGGAAGAGACGCTGGGGTGCTGAAGCCTCTTGGGGAGAGATGAAGGAGCATCACACCATCTGAGCCCTGCCTGTCTGCTGAAGACCCCAGCCATTGCCAAGGCAAAGCTCAGCCGGTGCAATGTTCCTTTAGCTCAGCTTGAGATGCAGCTTTTCTCGGAGAGCAGCTGGTCCCCAATTGCCCAGGCACCCTCCACTGACGTCGGACTCTCAGCAGAAGTGCTGCTTAGAGAGCTGCAAAAAGCACCTTCCCCACAAAAAGTCTTTCTCCCTGCCTTGTGAGGGTCTGATGCCATTTTGAAACCGAGGTTCCCCGGGGTTAAAAGCCAGCATCTTAATTCAGAGTGCCAATGTTCAATTTTGCTTTCTGCTACCAGACTAGATTGCAGGCCAGCGAGAGAGTCTGGGTTAGTGGCCCACTGGGTCACCTCCCATTTGTTTTCCTCAATTTTGTGTTGTCATAAATTCATTCCAGCCCGTTGTGGTTGATCAGTTTATCTCCGCCGGGGCAGGGAGCGCTGCGAGCATGATATATGGCACAGAGCATTGTAGCCAGCCTCTCCATGAATCACTCCAGCTGTTTGGTGTCAGCCCCAAAGCAAACAGGGCCCGGCCGCTGAGCATTGACTACGATGAGCTCAGTATGGGAAGAGACATGACGTATGAATGTTTATTTAATAATTCTCTAATATTTCCAGCGGAGTGTGGCTGTGCCTTCTGGGAGGGGTGAAAGGGGGGGAGGTTGAAGAGGGAAACTCTAATCTGTTGGGGTGGGTCATAAATCAGGCAGACAACATCATTAATCAGGTATGGGACAGAAGTGGAAGGAGGTGGGACTGAAACTGCCATCCTCGTTGGGAAGGAGGCTGTGCTTTTTTTTTTTGCTTTTTTTTTGCTTTTTTTTTTTTTAAACAAATCTTATTTCTTGTTTTATTTCTGATTTCGCTTGGCCCCAGCCACACTACCCGCATAATAGCAAACCCAGACACAAGGTTGTTTAAGTGAGTATGCTACCTCTGCTCTGAACCTTGCAATACAAGCCTGCCAAGCATTAAATCCCTTTATAATTATCTTCTTTATATAACACTTCATGCTTATCATGCTTCATTGGATGAGACGCTTGTTGGGTTAAAAAGAGGGTTTTAGAGACAAAAAGCAATTGTATTTGTTTTATTTTTCCGCTCTCCTCTTTATTCCCCTTCTCCCCCACCTCACCTCTTTCCAATCCAGCTGTTTTGAAATGTTGGCTCTGGAGGGGCTCTGGTGCAGCAATATAGGGAGGAGCATCAATTAAACAAAGTTTAGATTGGGGTCCTTATGCAAAGAGACAGGCATGTGAGAGCAGTCAGAGAGGTAGCAGTGTCTGCTGGGGAGACCCTATTCCCAAGCAGACACGTCCAGATGGGAGCGGAGTGTGAAGCCAGGGGATTAGCAGAGGCCTGAAAGAGAAGGAGCCACGTGTAAGCTGGTATGTCAGAGGGAAACAGAAACTGTTGAGAATTCACACCATAGGATAAGCACTACCCAGCCCTTCTCTACAGTGTTACACCATTAATAGGCTTTGATGGGAGACAAGAAAATCTCATACCAAAGACAGAACTAAAAAATTAACCTGAGTCATAAATGAAGTAACCCTTTGTGCTCTGCTAAGCCAAGAGCATGATGCTGCTGGTGGGTCCAGTACTAAAGCAGCCCACGTGAACTTGGGAGAGGATTCAGGACACTGTATTGAAGTGTGGGATTGTCAAAGGCTGAGAAAGCTGCTGGGCTGTGCTGCTTGTGTCCAGATTTTTATCTTTATTAGATTTCACTCCTTTTCAGTAATTCAGTAGTATGTAATACTGTGTACTATATCTGGTGTTCAGTGTTGAAAGGGTATGGAGATAGATGCTTCATTTCTTTATGAAGTGAAGCTTTGGCATTACTTCTTCCTCTGCCATGTGACAGTGGAGTGCAGGCTGCTTGGCTGTGTTTCTTTATTCTGCTCCCTCTTTTAACTGTTGGAGAGAAGTTGTATGTGCTAATAATGATCTCAAACATTATAACCACTGTGCAAACTGAAATTGTATCAGTGCTCAGTTCTTCACTGGCCAGTGGTTAAGGAAGCTCAGCGAGGCAGGCTATGACTGTACAAGCTCAGACCTGGGGGTAGGTGGTTTCTCTGTTTAGTGCAGCATTGTCCAG